GTAGTACGAAGCCCCAACAAACACCATGTAAACGTACCTTCTTTTGGCCTGCCGTTCTGTTTCTAGCTCTTGTTTGAGGCGCGTTCGCTCCTTCTCCAAGGCGTAGGTCACGTCATCACCCTGGGCGGTGTCATGCGCGTGCTTCGCCTTTTCTTCCTCCAGCTCCTGAACGGCCTGGGGTAGGGATGGGACGGTTAGCTGACGGGATAGACAGGTAACCATGGGACTGACGCCAAGTCTGTCGGAGCTAGCGACGACGAGCGACATTGCGGTGATTGGTGTAAAAAGAATTGTGGAGCTTATCCAAAAATACAAACAATCTTTCACAAAAAGAAGAGCAAGTAAAATCCCAGATAGTAGCCCATTAGGTCTCATTGGTACCACAGCTGCTGCTGAGGACTTACCTTGGCGTGCCGCGCCTCGGCGTCTCGGAGGTACTGAGCCATCTTCAGCTGAGCGGCCCGTTGTGCCAGGATTAGATTCTCCAGCGACGCCATCTGATTGTCGGCCATCGAACGTATCAACGCCTCGTCCACCTGTGAATGGGGGCAAGGAAACATCAGACTTCGCTGGGCAAGCACGCACGACAGAAATAGTTATCAGACGTGCACATAATTAAAGACATTCAGTTTTTACCTAAGGCGCACAACTTAAAATGAAGATGAATGATGCCTTTAACAGTAAACGGATATGAGCTAACCATACCCTCAGAGTTACGACTGTAAGTATATGCAGACGAATTAGATCAGTCGCGTGCATCACCTACCATTTGATGTTTGGCGTGCGTGCTGTCCCTCTGAAGAGCCATCACTGGATCTGTCAGACTGAGTCCCATAGCGAGCCTGACACAGCATGTGCTTCACCTTTTCATTCTGAAACAGATAATCCTTGTGCACCGTAAGACTTCTGTCAAAAGTTGGCATTCGATATTAACTTATAAATCACAGCTGAATCGAGGCAAAACTTCATGCGTAATCGATTACGACTTACGAGCACGCACGATAACAATCACGTAATGCATCTAAGTACTATCGAAAAACGCATTAACTAGTACACTTCACGTTTTACATTCAGCATAAAACCTATGGTAGGCCTTGGCCAAAATGAGACACACTAAGGAAAGAGCTGCAAGTGAAACGAGCACTTCTAAACGAAAAAGTCGTGATGTAACGCAACAGATTTCGACTTTTGATCTCCCGTGGATCCGGGGAAGACGTTAACAGCGTTCTTCCTGCCAGTGTGATATCATTGGCGCCAGGCAAGAGCCAGACATGCGCTCCAGCCAGAACATTCATCGTCGGGATACATCCGGGGCGCGCACTACACCCTTATGGCCACTGGACTGGTCTTGGGTGATCACATTCGTACCACATCTCAGTGGCAGCTCACTCAGGCCACTGGCGAAGCTGCCAAATTACCCAACACACCATTAAGATGATTTTATGTGTGTCAATCAGATCCTGAGACCTGGGACCATTACCTACCTTCTCAGCGCACTCTATGAACCAGTAATTATAGTAATGCATATTCAAAGCCTTATTCATCCTTATTTTGGTCTGATTCATCTCCAAATAGTTAGCAAAACTGTGAAGGCAAGTGAGATGACAATGCTAGAAGTAATTGTTAAAAAGGCATGCTGTTACTTATGATAGCAGGCAATGGCAAAGCATTCCATCATGTCAGGACTCAGGTGAGTCAGGTGAGTGGTAAGCACAGGACTGGGTGTCAAGAGACAATACTTGCTCATCTGAACTTGGTCCTGTATGGTTCTCATACTGTTTGCTAATATTCAAAAGGAAAATAAGAGCATTTATGCCCACATGCATCTGATGCATGTTTGACCTATAGCTCCCCAAGGCCATAGGATTGGGAAGTTCAGGAATCCCACATGCTTTTAAGATTTCATAGGCTCATCACAACCATAAGGGGTGTGTACTCTTGAGTAAATTCTAATGTAATTTGAAAATGGCAACAAGTCTTCCGAAACAACTTCGAGAACATTGATCGTATTTGTGTATCAGTGTGTTTAATTCAAAATATTTGTAAAAATGTGCAAAACTATTTAATGATGCAATGCAGAACCACACTGGTACATTTAGAACAAAACAAGGAAATCTAGCATATCACATATCTGATCCTTACCTTCAATGTTGCTATCACAACATCACGGGCTTGTAGCTCTCCCTCTAGGCAGCTGAGCAGCTTGAGCAAATCAGCTTTGCTAAGCTCCATTTTAGGATTTCTCTGTAAAGGAGATTTTAGTCACTGAAGTCATTGAAGGTGAGAAGTGAGAATGGCAACAAAGAGTGCACACAAGGTTTACAGATCATCAGCCACAAAGTGGTCAGTCACAACTATAAGCAAACCATAGACCCCTTGCAACCACAAACATATTTGATATTTTAGGGAAAACCATCTAAAAACCAAGTAAAAAAGCAAGGAACTACTGGAAAATAAGCCAAATAGCCATTAACCCTTAGCCATTAACATCCTGACAAGTGACATGTAGGTACCAAGGTCTTGTTGATAAACATAGGCTGAGGCATTATTAATATTCAGCATTCCACTTACCTTTAATGTAACAGGATCAATATCTGGAGGCTCATAATTTTGTCCTGAATCATTACTGCTCATCGCTGCCTGTGTATCCTTCGGAATAGCTCCGTGCGTACTGGCTCCACCATTACTTGGTGAATTTGAAGACATTTTGGAAGCCATGACAAAGTTGCTTGTAAAATTACAACTCTGAGCTTGATGCCACTAGCAAGTGTATATAGTATGATGTGCTAAGATGTAAAAGTTTATGATTAAGTGACAAATGTTGCCCAGATTATAGTGTGCATCATCTATCAGCAAACACTTCTTCAGATTTCATCTGTAAAGCTGGGCCATCAAGAACTTCAAGCTTTTCAATAGATCATGCCTTACTTTTCAAGAAACATTCATCAGATTTACTTCTGAAAGTTATCCAAAATCTTTCAACTGTTGTAACGACACGTTCAGATTTCTTGCAAGGCTGAGGCCACGGTCCCCAGCCTTTGATCTTGCAAGGTTTTATAATGTAATACCACACCAACTGTATTACTTCAATTATGAAATCAACCTCAACTATTTCATTTATAAGAATATGCACAAGTTATGCGATTATCCCGTGTCTGAGCGGCCAAGATCACATAAGAAAACACAAAAGTCACAAAACACAGTGCAAAACACACAGACACACAACACCATCGCCACCATCGCCCACTTTCTGTGATTTGAGACAAAAGCACCATCTCCATGCCTTAGGAATTAGCGACTAAATTTTAGACGCTCGGTAAGATACAAAATTAAACAAAGATTAGCAAGCTAGAGAAATACTGCCCATTCATGTCTGTTTCAGAAATTGTAATCAATACATTTTATTATAATTCCGCTGATTTTTTGCAGAACGGCACGATGAAATGCGAATTAAGTTTGATTGAGACTTTTTATGCCAAATTCTTGCATTTGTGGTTGGGACTCTACACATAATCTCCAAGAATCTTTGTTGTTTTTAACACAAGTTAAACCACAAAACAAATAATAAGGCCCGATTCTTTCAAGTGAATAGTAAATAACAAGCCATAGCTCAAAGGTTTGTATCAAATTATATACGGGAGAAACGTAGGTATAGGTAGAAACAATTTACTAGCCACATCTTACAACATTTTTACCAATTAAATCCCAGTTCTTTGTTGAGGTATACATTGACGTCATAAAAACGTTCAGCTTTGAACAAACTGTAAAGCGAGAAATTCAAAAAAATTGAAAGAATCAAAATAAGCAACCGATGATTTGTTATTTACACCAACTCCGAATAAAGTTTGCGAGAAATTTCTTATTTTCATTTCCTTCACTCCCACGCGAATCTGAATGTCTGGCGCTAGGCAGCACCGTGAATGGTGCTTGTTTTGAGCCTTTGATGTCATAAGTTTACCGAAATTATTATACCGAAGTCCCTTTGACACTCAGGTTGTGTTCCAGTCACAGTTTTGTTTCTTGTGGGGTTTGTGTCTTCTTGATTCTTGATGGGAGGAGTGTTGGGATGCGGTAACTGGTGTCGGGTAAATAAGGAAAAATCGGGGATTAACACTTGATTTTGGGCTGCGAGTGGTGTTTGCGTGTTCGATCATAGAGCATTTGCTTGTTTGATTTCTCTGAAGGACTATTCCTGGCGCGTAGCAAAGTGAAAGAAACTGAAAAATTTGGTGAGTTTAGCTGATCCCAAATTATTTATCAATTTACTGACAATAATTTGTGCATTATGCATCATTCACACCTCAAGTGGATGGGAATTGAATGTATGAAATTACGCAGCGATTTTATCTTGATCATATGATCATTTTGATTGATTACAATTATTTGAGTTGAAATTCAGACTTCAGGGTCTTTTTTCGCTACACCAAAACTATAGTCTGACAAACCTAAGAAGCACTGGAGCTAAGGCACCTGGAAGCACTTAACATTTGCATTGGACGTTAGAGATAGCTTACCTACCTGTACTTTAATTTGACAAATTATCTCAGGCATATGTGCTGTCAAGATGGTACCTTACTATTGACATTTATTTCAGAGTGCAGCCTGGCCATTTGCTCTGTGCCTGTCAGAGTGCCAGGCTCCTTTGAGTAACAGCCATGGCAGCAGAGGGTGGTGAGGAGCCAGCCGGAGCGGCACCAGCGGCCGAGACTGGTGGCCTGTGGGAGGCGTTCTGCGCAGAGCTCCAGAGTCCTGCCAACATCCTGCTCATCTGCGCCTGCCTCTACATCGTCTACAAGCTGTGGGTGCGTCAGCGAGAGGAGCGCGCGCCGCCACCGCCGGCCGAGCCGCAGCTGCCACCGCTCAAACGTCAGGACTTCACGCTGGAACAACTCAAAGTGTACGACGGCACGGAGCAGTGTGACGGCCGCGTCCTGGTGGCCGTCAACTATAAGGTGTTCGACGTGACCAGAGGAAAACGCTTCTACGGACCCGGTGAGTGCTGCATAAAGGACGACCATGCAACTATCCACGATGGCTACCAAACTGTGGGGTACTGTATAGGGAATAGGCCGAATATGAAAAATATCCTGAAACCTTGGTTAGCTCAGCTCATGTGCCAGGTCTCAAAAACACACTTTGTTTTCTACTCCTTGGTTATCTAGGTTGCATCGTTACGGTTCCGTAATAGGTATGTGTGGGGGAGAATGAAGTTGCTGATAATCGGGGGTTGTTGCAAACCGGCGTTGCAAGCTCCCTATTTTGGAATGCATGGTATGCGCCTGCTCACTGCACGGCTGACGACCAATGCCGAGCTGCCGGCGCCCCTTGTATGGTGCCGCGGAGCCGACCTCCAAGCACGGGGCTGAGGGGAGGGACAGGGACCGCAGGGGTAGCGCTACACAGGAGCCGCAGGCACGGCTTGTTGCACCCGTGCGCCCGATAGCGATCATAGACCACACACAATGTCCACGCGTACGTCATTTTCCCGTCCATGCCGGGCCCGGTTGTATTTGCTATCTATCCGCTCAGCTTTCTAACAGTTGTGATAATTTTTTTTTCCGGTTAACCGCCGTTTTGTTAGGTGATTTCTGAAGTAGTATGACCAAACGTTTTCAAGATGAGGTCCACATCAGATGTCCGACAGATTCATCCAACGGAAACATAGCCAGTGGCTATGTTTCCGTTGGATGAATAGGGCACGTGTGGCGTCTCGGAGGGTACCGCGGCTGTGCCGGTGGTCGGCCGAGCTAGACAGGGGGTGGGGAGGGGACGGGAGGCCACACAGGTGGGTGTCTGTGTGCGGAGTCCGTCCCTGTGTCTGAGTTGTCAGAGGAACAGAGGCGACCACAGGCAGAGAAACGCTGCAGCTCACGGTGCTGGAGATGCACCACTCTGCCCCGGTTCATTGAAGAGTCCGATTTAACCTTTCGGATTGGGTATAGATCGAACTATACCGAGATTACCACAGAAATCGGCTTTTTTCACTCGATAACGGGGCAGTTTCGAGTTCGACATATGGTTTACAACTTACACGTGTTGCTTGTTGTCGCGAGGATAGTGGGCAGTGCGCTAATCTAGTCAACTGGGTTCCATTGGATTGAAAGGACCGGTAGATCGTAAGAGCCGCTTCAAGTCCGCCGTCGTTTTATCATCGTGCTTCTGTCGTCCGAATGGCCTGATCGGGCAGTGTGGAAATTGGTGTGGGCTGACGGTGGGACCTGATATTGGCTGGATGACGGACAAACTGACTGACCGACTGGGGACCGTCGACCGACCGACGGATATATGGATTTAAAGGCACTGGCTAGCTGTCGGTGGACCATGACGGCCCGATGGCGGTCGCCGCTCCCCGATGGCGCCCCGGCTGCTGTGGCCTGTTCCGCCGGCCGTGACCTTGGAGCAGACTGCGCTGGCACCGTGCCAATTCCGTGCCGCCTGCCTGACCCCTCCCCATTCGCCGAACGACCCGCCGGACTGTGGCAGCGCCTATCCTCCCCCCCCCCCAGGCCCGGCGGTGAACTCCTGAAGCGTGATAACTGGGCTTTCACACGATTATCTTGCTGTCACATGTTGCACAGACTGCCTGTTTTCAAGTGGCTGGTAAAACCTTGGTAAACGGTACTCACTATCCTTGCAGTACTTGCGATTTAGTATTGCAGTGCAATGTTTGTGCTGTTATCATTTAGCGTGGTCTGCATAAAATACGAGCGTTTTCACTTTTCAGGGTTATTGCAGACTGCTGTGTCATTCTGTTCTCTACTGTTGCAGCGTTAGGTACTCGCTTTGTTTTCCATAATATTGCGATGTTTTCATGCAGATAACCGTAGACGTTTCATCGGTAGGTAATTAATGCTTACCACCCAGCAGTGCTTCGGGTAACCGCCATTCTGGCTGCAAGTGTTGAATGCAAATGTGTTCCACCTGTAAACATGTCCTGTGCCAGCACTAACAACATTCTAGTAACTACGTACCCAGCTGACCATTGTATTTTTGAACCAACCAACTGACCTCTCATGACCTGGCCTCAGCCTGACCTACCTAACGCTTCTGTGTGTTCGTTTTCGACAGGCGGGCCATACGCGGCGTTTGCCGGCAAAGACGCATCCCGCGGCCTGGCCACCTTCTCGGTGGAGGGCGTCGACGACCGCTTCGACGACCTCAGCGACCTGACGCCGATGCAGATGGAGTCGGTGCGCGAGTGGGAGGCCCAGTTCACTGGTGAGTTCGCCGCTGTTACCGGTCCGACGCTGCCTGACCGGTAACAGCTTCAGTGGATTCCTTAGTTTGGAATCTGAACATCTGAACCGTTCATAGTCCGTGACTCCGTTGGCCTGTTTGTTCGCCTTTTATTTGGGCTAGTCAGGACGAGCAACCGGCTAGTTATCTAGTATCGTGATCGCAGGGAGCCGACGACCGCTCGCAAGCTGTTATGATTTGTTGCCCAATTCGTTATGTTTTTTTAGAGATTCGTGACTGTGACGTCATCTCCAATCTCCTAGAAGGTCCGTCGCTCTCACCATCATAGGGGCTGTAGCTCAAGTGGTAGAGCGCTCGCTTAGCATGTGAGAGGTACGGGGATCGATACCCCGCAGCTCCAGCGTTTTCGACATTCGGCGGTTGGTATGGTACAGGCTTCCGACGTTTGTAAGGCCTACCCTCATCGGAAATGGATCGCACCTGAAAATCCGTTGCTTGAGCTTGTTAAAGGGACTTATTTTTGTATCATATGCTCCCTAAATCATGCGAATCACGCTGAACAAGTACTGATCGAGCATCAGAAGTCGCTCGCCGGCTAATCCCGCCGTCGCCGATAATGCCGATATCGCTGTCGGTGTCGCCGCGCTGTATTCGGTCTTCTCGAGGGACGACGATCTCGTGTTTGCACTCTACTGATTATTAGCGCCTCTTGTCTGTCCCGATCAAGGGTCGAGCCCCTCTCCTTGTTTACCCATCGCCCCGCCCTCGTCTACCACGCTCAGAACCTCTGTAATCTCTGCGTCTGTGCCGGCCGTGGCGGGTCTATGGCGGCGGACAGGGCCGCGCTAGGCCGTGTTTGGTACGGCGTAGCCTTAACTGGCAGCCACGGCCTTTTCAATCATCGTCAGTTATATGACGGGAGCGAGAGGAATGGTATGAACTGCGGCCCATTGTATGGCTGTTCCCGATCGGTGTGGCATCAAGTGGCTAGTGATGCAAATATAAGCCCCAGTCCAGCGCCGGGCCAAAACAG